TATGTACAGATAATTTCTCAATTTTTGAAAAATGTTTAAATGTATTCATAAAAAGTTTAAAAAAAATCAAGGTAGAGTTTACTTTAAGGTATTTTATACTAAATAAACAATCAAATTACCTAAAGTAACTTCTACCCAAAATCATAATATTCTAGAATTTATTTTTCTAGAATATTAAAAAAAATTAGTCCTAAATTAATTTTAAATTAATGTAAAATTAAATTCGTATTCTATTGAGAATGAACGTAATTTAAATTTCATTATAACTAATGCGTTGGCTTTATTTTTAATTGAAAAAACTCGACGGAAATGATCGTTTAACCTTCCCAATAACTCTAATGAAATTTTTCCTCATTTATAATAGAGTCAATCTCTAACAAACAAAAATATGCAATAACTACATTATTACATATTCTTTATCTTTATACACTAAATTCAAACTGTACATTTATCCGGCTTTAATATTAATATAGCAAAAATCCAGACGAAGTACGTTAGGCCTAATGCTCAAATCGGCATATACAACATCAAATGGATCCTTTTATTAAGTACAAAATTATGATGCACTTTAATTACTTTAATGGGTAACAAAATCATCTATCATCAAATAACAACAGAAATAGCATATAATTACAAAACTTACTGATTTTTATATCATTCGAAGAATTCATCAAAATATGTAGACCAACAGTGTATCAAACAATGAAAAAACACGACGAATAGGTTACCTGCAGAACTTGATACTAGGGGGCTCTTCTTCGAAACATGATATTAAAAATATAAATCAAATATTTTAAATTACAGATATATAATATTATTTATTATACTTTATTTTAAGTTAGGATTATTTTTAATTTCTAATCAATTAACAGTTTTGAAGTTTTATTATTATTTTTTTTTTCAGGCCCATCGTGGATTCGGGTCTTGTCAAACCACTCTCCGAAAAATTTACAGTACTCATAAAGTTTAACGAAATAAGAAATACGAATGATTATACTTTTGATGATACTTTTAAAATACATTTATGATCATTTCGCATATCATAAGTTAAATGATCATAAAAGTAGTTAAAATATTCACAAAGAACATTTATTGTTTTTAAAACTTATGACGAAAATTTTTTTCATAATAGTGTCTGCAAATTTGTTAGACAATTAACAACTCTTAAAATTGGAAACAATTTTTTTTACTAGCCGGATGGCCGAAACGACTACTTCCATAAAAAATTCATATGTTGGATCAAGAACTTTTCACGATGGGATGGCCAGGATATGTTGGGCTCTGTCCAGTGCCGGCCCGAGGAAAGTTTTAGGATGGAGCGAGATCCTATTATGGCGCCCCTTGGTTGCCCTTAATTTATACCCTTTAATTTTCTTTACCACTGAGGCGCCCCATAGGACTTAGCGCCAGGAGCGGCTGTTCCGTTCGCACTATGGTAGGGCCGGCCCTGGCTCTGTCCATCACCGAGAGCATATCCGAATCCAGAATAAGTAGCTTACGTTAAATGTTCGTCTTAGTGCTCAAAGGGACGAAAAAGTCAATATACATATGCATGGTTAACCGTAACTGTTGGTAATAAAGGTGTACGTGTAATCTGTACCTAAAAACTAAAATTTCTAATAAACATAAATCTATCGGAAAAGAGTTAGACCCTATTTTATTTTCTTCCATTTTTTCCATTTGAGAATGGCAGGCTGGTAGCTTCGAACATCAGAGATGTTCGAAGTAGCCACCATTCTCAGCATCGGAACTGTTGAGAAGTTGTAATATTGATTGACTTAAGTCTTGATTTCACTCAAATTTCCAGCAGCAAAGATCTTCATCCATCAAAATTTCATTTCATTGAAAGCGGTAGCGTTTGCAGCTATAAAAACAAAACACAGTGAAAGTCTTAGAGGCTAAAGTCTGAAAGCAACGACGACAATACCCAGTCGCTAGGAAAGCTAGGACATGGAAGAAAAAATTCTACTATCAGTTTTCATTAAAGTAAACCTGACAAAAGGCACAAAACAAATTGAAAAATTTCAATATTCTACAACACAAGGAAGATCTGCCAAAGAGGAGAGTACATCCAGGGAAGACTTTTTATCGAAAACTGTCTAATACCTATTTAGGTATTACTTGTCTAATACCTATTTAGGTATTAGACAAGTGAAGAAAACTCAAAAATATCCATATTGATGAAGCAAACCCGTGAACTCACCAACTACTATTGTTCAATGGTTTCATCTTGTGTCTCAAACTGCAAAAAATTTCGGCTTGGAGATATATCAAATATAGACCCATATATCATACCCAAGGCGCTTTCCAACGAGAGAGTGTAGACGGAGAAACCTCCGTTATCGGCAACAACATGTGGGACGATATCTTCACGCGATAGTTGATAAGGCAATCTACAATGCTTTAAGGTGATATGCGACAGGCAGGTTTTTGTGAGGTTCCATGGTGTAATGGTTAGCACTCTGGACTCTGAATCCAGCAATCCGAGTTCGAATCTCGGTGGGACCTTCTTTTTTTTTTTTCTTCTTCTTCTTCGCTCGTCATCATTGAAGGCGACAGCGACAGTAGAATTCCGATACTTCTTTTGCTTTGAATTTAGAAAAGAAACTCAGCTTCACCGCGCGTGTGCGAAGCAGAATTTCTGTTCGACGCTTCGCAATGTTTCCATCAGTTTATTCTACTTTTGCGATCGCCGAACAACGAAATTCAACATGTCGCAAATTTCTGACATGCTTATTACAGTTTCGGACCAAAAGAATTACAAAAATGTCTTCCAAGCGCAAACAATCGTCACACTAAAAGAAACATTTTCATCAACCGCACATGAAAACGAAAATTCGTGTCAGGAGTGGGATTCCAACCCACGACCACTATCGCGGACCAGAATACACGTTCCTACATTTACAGGAAAGGTCGACCTTGAATCTGGCGCCTTAGACCGCTCAGCCATCCTGACATACTTCACCAGCTACGATTGCTGCCTAATCAATGGCGCATGGTATTTCCGTGGCACGTTTATGCAGGTTTTACGACGGGCCGACGTCTAAATCCCCAAAGCATGATTCAATCGCAGTTGCGAAACGATGTTGTTTTCCGGGAGGAGAAATTCGCTATAGTTTTATTACGACATAAAAAACACTGGTGTTTGCAGAGCAAGAAAAATTGCTGCTTCTGCGGCTGCGCGAAATCTTTACGTCGAGAAATTTGGAATCGAAATTACCGACCGAAAGTTTTCTCGTACTGAAAGTCTCGCATATGGATTTTCGAAATAAGTTATCGCATATTCTTGTTCCTAAATGGAAATTGGTGTTTACAGTGAATTACAAGCAATGAATGTTTTTACTGACAGGAGTCTAACTGGTGACTAGGACGGCGAATCACGGGTCGTTTTTCCATTATCACCAGCGGACAGAATATCGGAATTTCTTTCACGTCTCTTACAATAAGAAAGTCTTTGTTCCTTGATAGCATTACGTTAGCCTAAAGTGTAGAAGAATTCGTCGTTTTCTAAGAAGCTTACACATTCCATGCTACGTGTGTTAGAAAAACGAATACTTTTGTGTTCTGACCAACGTTCCTGTCCGTTAGCATTGCAACCGTCAGAAACAAAACAATAAATTCACCTTCGCCTTTGCTTGCTCGACGTGTTGCAGTTACAAGCTTCACTAACATCTACTTCCAACATTTTGGAAGATTTGAATGAATATCCGTGACTGCAACAAAATACGTTGGTCTTGGGCATTGTTGTTGGCTGTTGAACATCTCGTACGAAACGATTCCACAAAAATTATCGACTACACTATATCGAAGTGATTATTTTGCAAGTCTGCAGCAGTGGCGTAGCGTGAGTGTCAGCCGCCCGGGGCGGAGGAAAATTTCGCCGCCCCCTTATTTAGGTATCTCAATTTAAAAGACTAAAATTCAGTTTCGTCATAGAATAAGTAATGAATAATTCCGTGCTTATTTCAATCGGTCCGAATCGTAGGTGCGACAAAATTATGAAATGAAATGGTTCAAATTTTTACAAGATATTATTATTATTTATTGTGAAATTTTGCCGCCCCCTAAAAGTGCCGCCCCTTCCGCCCCCACTACGCTACACCACTGGTCTGCAGAACGTCGAAAAGTTTTTCGATTGCCCACGTAAAATAATCAGAAAATTACTCGCAAAACAATCAGGCAAACATCAAACACGTTTTAAGGCGTCATAATCGAATATGATACCTTTCGACGACAGAAAAAATTAAAGGTCTCACCGAGATTCAAACGCGGAGCGCTGGATTCAAAGTCCAGAGTGCTTACCGTTACACTATGAGACCGATGCCTTGTATATAACGGTAAATTATTTAATGTTATCTCCTCATAAATAGTAAGTAAAAGAAATTAGTTACAGTCCAACTGTCGCAGAAGTAGCCTAAGTATGCTTGTGGAATATTAAACTAGTCAAGCCTTTAAACTCGAGATAACTCGGGCAGGTTACATAGCGTTACAAAACAAACAGTTTTTTGGAACCCCGAAAAAATTTTTTATTTTTGGATTTTTTGGATGTTTTTTAATTCAAAAATTTTTATCCGCGTGAAAAAATATTATTGTGATTTTAATCAACCTTTAATGACGCACGATTAACACTTAATTGTTTTTTATGGGATTTATATAAATAAAAAACTGTATATGTATGCATATGGTTTTTTTTTTTTCCTAAATCATCGTCTTTGGGCGAGACTAAGTTATGAGGCGGCAACCCTATTTTTACAGTATANTTAAAAATAGTTTCTGATGTCAAAAACGACCTCCAATAGTTTTTTAATTTTTTTAATTAATATATTTTATTATATATAAGTTTAATTAAATCGGGTAGTCAGAAATCGCAATAAAAACGTAATTTTTGAAAAATATTTAAAAATATACGGTCAGCTAGTATTCACTCTACTTTAAACCCTTCTCCTCCCGAGACTTCTATGAGAATGTCCCGGGAAATTCAACACCAGCTGTTCTCAAGGTCATCCAGCTGTAAACACAATGACTCATCAGTGTCAAATTTCGCAGAAAGGCGAGACAATGGAAAATAAAGTTTAAAGCTTTTTCTTCAAAATGAACGCATTTCTTTCGTTTTTTTCAGTTTTAAGTATTTTTTTATGTTTAATTACATTAACATTAAAAATTGATGGGTACCAAGGGAGTTAAACGATTGTTTTTAGAATAAAAAAGTTATATAGTTATATCAAGATGGATGAAACTAAAAATAATTTTTTTTTTCATTTTTCCTAATAAGCATGATTCTTGTAAAAATTTAAGAACAAATCGACATGATGGCACTTCAAATACAGCTGACGAAGAAAGACATCATTTACGTTGCTGAATAAACAATTCAAACAAAATAATAACAACCATTGTAACAGTAACAGAACAGTTAATTAATATTCATATTTGTGAAAAAACTTTAATAAAAAATGTACGATAATGACGTTACTCTATAATAAAAACTATGTGAAAACTGACTGAATCTAACCGAACTGAATGTTACTACGTTTTTCACTTGCCAAATCGATTAACTCTGTCAATCACACTAAAATCGTAATAATAACGATTTATGCTATTTTATACACTATATATGTCGTTAAATAAAAGTTACACCTACATTAAAGACGATATAAAAGCAGCCACATACTATAGTATCCAAATGGATTGTACTCCTGATATTTCCCATAAGGAACAAACTTCAATTATTATTAGGTATGTAAATTTTGAAGAGA